CCTCCAAAGATGTTGATGTCAATTGGTCTGTCGATTCCCCTAACAGTGCTTGCGATTAGGGAGTCCCTCTTCTCTTTTCTTGGCCAATGGAATTTCGTGTGTGGATATTCCAAGGCATCGTCTCGTTGGCGCCTGGTGCCGACCCATGGGCACGCCGTTTGGGGTCCACGCAGTCTGACATGGCATGTTCGGAGAAACACTTTACCATTTTTTCAAAGCAGGCGCCCCTCGAGCGTAATTGTTCAAAGCCTCTGCCAATATTTACGACCATGCTCTAGCACGAGGGTCCATCCGAGGTGCCGGCGGCAGGCCTTGCAGCCGTTGTCTACCCACGTGCATTTTGGGCAGCCGAAGGGTCCACAGCCTGGCGGGCGCGGTGGCACGCGCCCCATCGAACCAAAAGCTGGCAGATCTCGCGCTGCCGGGGCTGCTGGCATTGCAGGGTGCGCTGGTTCTACTGGGGCCTCCTCGGGGGCCTCCTCTGAGGCCTCATCCAGGGCCTCCTCTGGGGCTCCTGGGGCCTCCTCTAGGGCCTCCTCTGGGGCCTCCTCTGGGGCCTCCTCTGGGGCCTCCTCTGGCAGCTCAGCCTCTGATGATGATGATGGTGGCGATGTCAGCGCTGGACTCCCATCCATCGCAGATCCTGGATGGGAGCGTTCCTCATCATGTACTTGCGCAGCCTCATCTGCTGACGCGATGTCCTCAGGCAGTGGGGCCACAGTTTTCTCAACGTCAGCCTCCTCTGGTGTGTGCAGGGGGCTCGCCTCGGCTGCTGGCGGCTGCGCCCTGCTGTCAGCTCCAGCGAGACGACCCGTTGATAAGTCACAAGGAGTCCCGGGCTCAGCTTGATCATCTGACAAATCCACGGGGAGGTCCTCTTCCTGTTGCACACTTGGTGATTCAGCCCACATGAGGCTTCATCTTCTTAGCTTTGGGGCCCAGGCTCAGTTTCTGGTTCACATCAGCCTTTGTTTTTCTGCCTGCTGGAGCCCACGTTGCCCCTGGATTAGGCAGGCCTCGCTTTTGGCTAACAAGTTTGGGCTCCTGAGGTGCAAAGTCTTGCCATTGTATTGCAATGCTGGCGTCCATTCTCTCTTCCTGGCACCACGGCTTCAGAACAAATTCCAAATCCCACAACTTATCGATGTGCAAGGTCTTCTCAACATTCTGCCTGACCCATTCTGACAGGTATTGGGCAGCCCTGTCCATGCACCAAGGGTCCAGACTCACAGCTTCACTTGTTTTCGTGTACTTCTTGGCCAACTCCCTTCCGATGGGATTTCGCGCCATGACTACAAGATTCGGTCCTGGGGTGACCCTCGAACTGTCTAAGAACTGCAGGTCAGCTGCGCGCATCACAAGCAGTGGTGTTTGCGACAACGCCTTGCTGGACATGTAGTGCTTGACCATCAGGAAGACATCATCGCCTCGTAGTTCGCTTTCAGAGCTGATCGAAAACTTTCCAAAGTCCAGCTGCTTGTCGTCCCCACCAATCACCATGTCTTCGTAGCGTACGAACATATAGAGATGCGAAGAACCCTTCCCAGCATGGCCAGTATATGGATTGTTGAGAGGTGCAAAGAAATTGGTCCAGTTGCGAGCCACATGAAGTTGCTCGACGACCAAGGCTCTGCCCCGGGAAGGCTTCACTTTCCTCCGCATGACATCCATCACATCCACCAGGTTTTCCAACACTTTCTCTTGCAATGATAGCTCCACATGCGCTGAACCTCTGGCCCTGGTCGATGTGCGTGTGCCCTACCTGCGTGCCCGCCCACGTTGCAGTGCGGAAGCAATGCCGAGCAGTGATGTAAGATAAGAACGTAAGCACGGTGTTGTTTCTATTTTCTCGTGATGTATTGTCAACTTGTAGCCACAGATGTCGTGGCATCATCGCGCCTCTTGAAGTCAATTCTGCTTTGGCATGCTCGATGACGTGGCTGATCATTTCGATTGTGCCGTTGGGGTCTTTTCTGACATCAGCGTCTGCAACAAAGTAGTACTCAGCTATGCCATGACATGTCGCACCCGTGAAATGAAGCTGAGGTCTGAATGATGTATCCCCATCTGCCTGTTGCCAATCGACATGGCGTGGTATCTTGAACTTTGATTGGTCCATCCCATCGATGCAAATAACAAGGGTACCGTCATCTGGCGCATCAGCCCCAGGCCTCGTCGAGGCCTCAGACAGGAGGCTTCTGTGCTTGTAGATTGCCCGGTCCTCACGCATGATACGAAGATGCCCTGCCAGACCCTTCCGCACAGCGAGCTTCTCCTCGTCTGAAATGGCCTTAGCGCGTGCAACTCTGTATTTGGCACAAGCCTCGCACATTTTATGCTGCCCTCTCGTTCTGAATAACAACGTAGATTCCCATGGTTGAAAAGCACGGCGAAAAGTTGAGTAGCTGCATGGCTTCTCTTCGTTCCCAAGGTCATCCCACCATTCGCAAAACATGTCATGCAGTTCCTGCCATGTGAATGGATTGAGATATCTTGGCTGCAGCCCTGAAATCTCACGCAGTTCTGGCATCGCTTGAATGTCGATATGCAAGTCATCGTGTCGAAACATTGATTCGCGAATCACATCAGCCTTATTTCCGTCGTCTTCACCGTCAATGACTCTGCCTTCAGCGAGGCTCTCTGCAACATGAGTGTACAACCAATCGAAGAACGCGTGGGCTTTCACATGCTCGGTGCTGCCATGCACCCGGGTTGAGCTTTTCCGCCCATCCGGTGGTGCCCCAAAACCTCCATCACACAGATGCTGTTTGATCCTGTCAAAGCGTTTTGTGGAAATACCAATCAGATCACAAAATTGTCTCCGACCTGTCAGTGTCTGTCCGAGAAGCACAACACATCCATCAGGCATTTGCTTGATCAGCTCACAAATGTACATATTTTGCCTCTGGAGGTCGAAGGAGTCAAATTCACTTCTGAGTTGTGCGAGCTTATCAAACATAGGCTCTGCTGCGAACGCAGTTTGACATGCAGCGGTCTTCCAAACATCGTTGTCACCCATCCCATGACCACATAATTTGAGTGCATCGTCCACTGAGCCCTGGCTGTCTTCGTCGGAGGTTAAATGAGAAGGACCATCCAAGCTCGCTCCAACGGATAACAACAATACACTGAGAGATGATACAGCCTGGCTTTCACTGCAGGAATCTTCCTGACAATCGCTGCATGAAACGTGATGGCTGCATTCTGTATCGGAGGCGTCTGAATCAGACACAGCAAGCATGAACCAAAACAGGCTACGAATTGACGATTCAGATGGTGATGGCAATGTCTTATGGGATCACCAAGCGGTCTCTGCTGATAAACTCGTTTTAGGACATCCCCTTTGGAGCCCCGCAGCTTGTTGCATTGTGCCCCATTGGTCACGAGAGCCTCAAGGGATCCCCAAGACGCCCCTGCAAGGGTCTGCCGATGTTTGCGCCTGATGTCGTGGATGGGGTTCTGTTGCGACCCTCTGGGAACCCTCTCAGAGGCACTTGTTAGATATTGCTATGGCAATATTGAAGGAATGGCGACAGGGTTGCCAAGTAGACAGAAGGAAGGCCAAATATGTTTATCCCGAAGACGTCGTTCCGTAAGACTTTTCAGAGGGCTTGCAGGCCACGATGGGGGCAAGGGGGGAGTCATGTCAGAACACCTTTACAGGAACCCCTGCAATGACCACAAGGGACCCAGACTATCCAGCATATGTCACTAAGAGCTCTCAAGACGCCCTGAAAAAGGCGAGTCCTTGAAACGGGTGCACTAATCATTGCGAATGGATTCGTTAGGGGCTGCCCCAGGTCTCCTGGAATCTTCTCGGGAACAGGTGTGTGCCTTTTCTGGCATAAAGTAGCGACGAAGAAGTAAGGGAAGACAGCGACGAAGAAGGGCAATAAAAGGATGATGAGAAAGACAAGAATGTGGAACATGAGGGGGATGACGAAGCAGGAAGAGGAACGGCAGGAGGAGGGAGAAGGAAGAGGAACATCAAGCAATATACGTCGGAGGGGGAGGGGAACAGCGGAGTTCTTTTGACGTGGCGAGAATTCTTTTGATGTGGCGAGTCGTTTTCTCCTGCTCGGTCCTCCTCGCCTCGTATCCTGTAATCCTCAGCCTGCCTCCCTCCTCGCGCTGCAGAAGCTCGAAGGTCCGCTGGCTGCACTCCGCGCTGCGCGCACTACCAGGTTGGACTTTGCCATGCCTCCGTGTGGAAGCACATCCGGGGCAGCCCCCGGTCTGCCCGAACTTCTCCACGTCGGACTTCAGCACGTACGTCCTCCTGGGTGCTGCAATCGCCGGCGAAGGCAATGCGATCGGAGGCGGGCCGACCTCCGACGGGCCAACAATGGCTCCAGGTACTCTGGGGGCCCTCGGTCGCACGTCCCACGGCAACCCTTTGAGCTCCTCCCAACCGTCGGAATTCTACCTGTCCGCCCCCGGACGCCTACGGTGAACTGTGGCCTTCTTAACGCCCTTCGCCGTGATCACCATGAGCGACCCGTTGCGGAGGTGGTGGCCTATGTAGCGCCCCTCGAGCATCTTCTCGTCCAGGGCGTTCTGCTTCTGCCTCTCGCCGGCCAGCTTGAAGAGCACCTTCTCGCCGAATATCAACGCTGGCTTCCTCCACTGATGTCCGGTGCGTCTCTGGTCCGGCGTCTTCCCATCAGCTCCCCGCCGATGCCCGTTGATCACCGCAGCGGCGTGCGTGGGCATGTTGGCCAAGACAGGGTCGTCGTCCTTGAGTATCCTCCTCAAACCTGGCTTCCAAGTCGAGCTTAATGGCCCGTGTCTGCCTTTTAACCTCTCGCACCATCACCTCAATCTCGCCGTTGGCTGCGTGATCCCCTGGCGGTGCCTCCTGCGGCGTCGCCTCCAGTCCTGGCGCGGCGTCCGCTGGCTTCTGCTTAACATACTTGATGCTGGGCTCGCCATCCGACTTGTGAATGATCTTCCGGTGCGCCATGTGGGCCAAGAAATTCACCAATCATTTTATGGCGTAACTATCCCCCCTTCTTCTCCACGAAGGTTGCCGCTCCTTTATTTGAGCGACGGTCTTTTATCACCAACATAGGTAGGGTCTCGCCGTCCTCCTGGCCCATGAAGCCATAGTTGCTGCAGATGACTGGCGCCGCAGTCTCGTCCTCCTCAGGGGCCTTCTGATGGGGTTGCCCGACTGCTCGTGCAGCGATGCAAATCTTGCACCAATTCCTATAGACAGCATGTCCGGTCGCCTCATGCTCGTCTATCTCTAGCTGTGAGGGTTCATGAGGTGCCTTCAGCAGCTTCGGCCTCAACTGCTCCTCTCCTTCTTCGGCAAGCTCGGCGTCGTGCACCGGCTGCTCGCCTCCGCCCGCCGCGGACGATGCCGCCGGCGAGAAACTCGGAGCTGCTCCTTGAAGTCAGCTCCTATAGGTAAAGCAGGTTCGGCAGATGACCCCGCGGCAGATCCAGCAGGTGCCATCTCCGCGTCTTCGTCGCCGAACGGGCTTACGCTTACAGCTGCCGCCGGTTTCCCTGCGACCGCATGTCCCGGATGAGCTTCATCAGCTCCCCCGTGGACTTCCCAGTGATGTCATCCTCCTCCAGCGGCGCTACCGTGCCATGCTGGCCCTTCTTGATGTAGAAGTTGTAGACGCCCTGCTCGCGGTGCACGGGCATCTTTTGGTCCTGCTTCGCGGCCTCCGTTTCCATCAGCTTCTCGATATTATTTTCGATTGGCCTCCTTTCGTGGAACACCCATCCCCCCGTCCGGGAGAGATAGGAGCACTGCCCAGCTCCTGCTGCCTGCCCTGCCGACACCAACGGCTTGTGGACATTGGCCACCCAGCCAGATAAAGACCTCAGCGTGCCGAACTCGTCCTCCGCCTTGACCCTGATGCTGCCCTCGTCCGGTACAAGCTCACTACTGGCTATTTTGTACGTGTTGCCATTTCCGGTCAACCCCTTCGGAGCGAAGCTCCGCGGGAAGGCGCTGATTGCAGCTCTGCTGTCCCAATTGAACTTCAACCAAGCGCCATTCTCGTCGCTCAACGGGGAAATGTGCAACTCACCATGCGCGCTCCCGGCGATGTCAAAGCACCCCATGTCAACAGCTGCTAGCTCAGCCTCTGGCTCCAGCTCGTCCAACGAACCAGCCGCCTTCCCCCTGCCGGTCTTGCCGCCACGACCTTTTCCGCCGTCTCTTCCGGCCTGTCGTGAAGCAGCTGGCACCTGCGGGCTCGACCAGCAATCGCATCCCTTGTGTCCCCATTTGCCGCAATTGTTGCGATGCCCCTGGAAGCTCTTTCCTGCTCCCTGAGGCTGTCGGCCGCCTCCTTTAGGCTGCTGGCCAGGGGCGTGCGTCGAACTCCATTTGCCTCCTCCTTTGTCTCCTTTCTTTCCTCCTTTTCCCTGGTCGTGCTTAACTTTACCTTTACCTTTACCGTCTCCTTTGCCACCTTTTCCGCTCGGGCCCCATTGGCCGCGGGCCGCTCGGCTCCCTACGTCCATGTCGTTCGGCCCCTTGACCCAGCCTCCGTCCTTGATGGAGGGCTCCTTGATCTTTACTCCGGTCCGAGCCTCCACTATCATGACGACCTCGTCGTAGGCTTCCTGGAACCCCGGCAGGCGGTGCTTGTTCAGCATGAGGTGGTTCTCCAGCTCCGTCGGCACGAGCATCTCGAGTGCTGCTGCTTGGACGTCGTCCGGTATGAACATCAAATTGCCCTGATCGTCGCGACTCCGCTCGTGCCTCGCCACCTGCTCCATCCATTTCTCGAGGGGGGAGCTTACCTCGTCCATGGTGCACTTCGGAGGGGAAATGGTACCTCGAAGTATCGTCCGCTTGCGTGCCCCTGTAAGCGGGTCCCACCTCCGATTGAGCCTCCTCCAGGCTTTGAGGCCGTTTCCGTCGGGGGCTCCTGTCACGAGATCGTTGCTCTCGCTGCCGTCCTCGGTTGTCCCGCTGAGGGCGGTGTAGAGTTGGTTGACCTTCTCCTCCAAGTTCTCGATGGTGAGTTCGTACTCGTCCTTCGCGACTGCCATGGTCACCGGATGATCCTGCTCCGCGGCGCACCGCAGAACTGCTCTGAAGGACTCGACGTACACGCCGACCACAAAGTTGATGAACTTCCGGCTCCATGCTTGAAACTTGTCCTGCTGGTCCCCGAAAGTGGTCGGCTTGCCTATGCCCTGGTTGTCGCAGAGAGCGAGGCCGTGCTGGATGCTTTGCTGGCTCTTCACGCCCTGCGTGATCTTGTCGCTCATGCGCTCGGTGGCCTGCGGGATGCTGCCGATGGAGCGCTGCACCTCCGACTCGAGCTTCTGGTTGGCCTCCCGGAGCCGCCTCGTTTTGGTGGCCGCCTCCTGAAGCTGTCCCTGAACCTCCGCTCGAGCCTCCTGGCGCGCCCCCTCGAGCTGACGAGTGAACTCGCCACGGGGCGCCTCGAGCTGCGCCTGCACCTGCTCTGCGTCCATCGCGCTGTGCTTGATGTGCTGCTCGCTGTGCTTTGCCTGTGTTGAGGCGGTCTCGCACCTCCTCTAACTCGGAAAGGTCCCCACTAACCGCGTCCCGGATCTCCTGTGTAGGACGTCCCTCACGAGAGGCCTCGCCGAGCACCTGGAGGCCCTTCTCCACGTCCGCGAGCACGTGCTTGTAGTCAAGCTCCAGTGCGCGGTCCACGATCGCTCCCCGGCTCCAGGAGCCCCGCTTCTTGGCTCCGGCGCTGCGCTTGCGCCGCGGCTGCACTGCCGCAGGGCGCCCTCGCGTCTCCTCCTCCTTCTCCTCCACCTGCGGCGGAAGAGGCCTGTCTGGTGACCTTGCGGTCGGTTGCCCCGGCGGGGACTCGGACACTGCCGACGTCCCAGACCGGAGGGCAGGCAGCAGAGCTGGCGCCTTCCAGCTCACGCTACCATAATGATGTAATATGATGTTGGATGGGACACTTCCCTTTATCCTCACTTGAGCCAAAACGCCGGCGGGCGGAAGGCACGAAATTGTCACGAAACCTCTCAGCCGCAATGCCGCCACACACACATGCATGCTACCGTCCATGACTCTAATCACGCTACGGTCGCTATGTCGGCCCATATTGGCCCCTCGCTCGCTCGCGGGCCCCTCTGTGCTGTCTGCCTTCTTTTCCTGGACCCAAATCTTCGGACCCATGCCGATCCGTAATCCGCAATCCCTTGTCCGCCGTAAGCCGTCGCGTCTTTGTCCTCCTTCTCCTCCTCCTACTCCTCCCCCTCTTCCTCCTCCACCTCCTCCACCTCCTCCGTCCTCCGCCTCCGAAGGAGAAGGAACACATTCACTACCAATGAGACTTCACAAACTTTTTGGCACGAGCTTCGGTGCACATGGCCTTCCAGCTTGGCTGGGCGCCAGCATCCAACGGTACCTGGGCCCGAATGGGGCCCGAGGAGGCTCGGCGGTGTGGGAGACTCTTCCTCGCCCGACCGACGACGCGACTGACGACCAACGACAACGGCGACTTGGACGACGAAATGTTGGTGAAGACGACGTGGACCAGCGACCACCGCCCAACCTGCTCCCGCCGCCGCAGCCACGCCGCCTCCGCGTGCAGCTCCGCCTGGGCCTGGCAGCGAGAGCGGCGCCGGAAGTTTGCGCGCCGCGAGCTCGTCGGTGAGGAGGCGAGCGCGGGGAGGGACCTCCTTCTCCTCCTGGGCCTTTGGCGGGACCCTTGCGTCGCCACAACAACCCACTTAGAAATTATGGTCGCAACGCGCTCCAGGAGAGATCGGGTGGTCGATTTTAGAGGAGGCGGAAAGGACGGACTTTTCACAGACTGGCAGGCACTCATCACTACGCCTGGCCAGTGGGTGAGGCTGGCGAGGTACCAATGCACAGAAAATTGCTGCTATTCAAATTCGAGAGCAAGACTACGCCAATGTAAAATGTATCGATCGTCCGTGGCCGAACCCAGACACGTCCAAAACGAGATCCGCATGGCGAGGGTAAGCCTCTCTCATGACCTTGCCGAAACTAGAGCTATTGCGCGCGATGCGCTCTCGAAACATATCTGCCTTCAAGCCTGCCGTGTGTCGCCGACCCCTAGTAATCGGCAGCCGTGGCCTTCGAAACCAACGCGGGTTTTTGCTGAATGTGCGATCCATGCTCGTCCTCGGATTCGGGCCAGCGTTGTACTAGTACTAATATTCATGCCGTTGAGACGTTGGGCCGTGTGATCATGCTTGACTGTTGTCTAACAGACTTTCTTGAATTTTCCAGAGCCGTCCTCCCTACCAACGAGCCGGGTAACATACCCCACCTGGCCTTGCTCCCTGGCACCCTCTTCGGCCTCTGAATGGCTCAGAGAGAAGAACAGCAAAAGCCAAGGCCGCCCGAATCAGCTACAACTTGTTGCAACACACGCAAAGACGGCCCATCTCTCATCTAGCTCCCAACGGGCTCCAATATCTTCCCAATGTGTCCTAAGTTAAGAAGCTCCAAGAAACATCCGAAGGAGGTCCAGAGAAGACATCAATGAGGCCCTAAGAGGCGAATTACATTGAAATGCTATAAGGGACGCATTGCTGCTTGCTTCCGTAGCTTTCCGGTTTCAGAACGCCTCCGGGATGCTCCAGAGGGCCCGTCCCCAAGACGGCCCAAGACTGCCGCAGGTGAGCCCTGACGCGGCCCCCCCAACACTGCCTGGGATCCATGTTAGACGGCCCAAGAGGGAGGGCTTCAAGACGGCAACAAGGCCCGTCCAGAGGTCCCCAAGATGGTTCAACCGAATTTGTTTGGGAAAGTTCCGTGGAACCAGTGTACCCAAGACTACCCCAGACGGGCTCCCAACAGGCCCCTTAGGAGGACCCTAAATAAGCATCCGATGTGCCTCGAAGAGGGATGAAAAGAAACGATATTACATATTACCCGTCCTCCTCCCCGACGTCTGTCATGGTGTGTTTCACGTGGGCCGCCGATATGTCGACCCCATCCTCGGGGCCAACTAGCCGCCGCGATTTTGTGTCATTCGTTCTGACCATTCGCAGAAATCCGCTGGCCCCCTTGGGGGCCTTGTCCTGCTGGACTGCTGTCTTTTGTTCGTCGTGCTGCGTTTAATGTTTGTTGCTCTTGTGTCCCCCGTGGTGTCTCCACTTCCACTGTTCACTTGGGGCCCGCGGCCCCAACGGAAACCGCTTGTGGCGTGTACTTCAACAAATTCTTGCCTAGGTTCCCGTAGAGAAGCCACCGCGCGGCCAGGAATGCCAAAGAGTCCTCGAATATGGTTTCAGGAGGCCCCCAAGCGCGCCTCCAGAACCCAATCGAGCCGAAGATGGCCCCAAGGCGCCCCGAAAACTCAGGAATGCTACGCCGGCCAAAGACGCGCACCAAAATGGCCCCCAATAAAGCTTCCAGATGATTTTTGAGCGGTCTCCGCGTTCTCGCCTTTTCGGGTCGCCAGGAATCTAAGACGGCCCAGCGGCACCTCCGAAACGGCGCAGGAGGTCCAGAAGAGAGTCCCAATAAGGCCACGATCTGTCTGAATGTGCACCGAGAAAGGAGGCTCAAGAAAGCCCCCAAAGACTCAATGCGGCCCTGACTGGTCCCAGACGGCCCGAACCCACAAAAGACCCTCGCATACCCCAAGCGGCTTCGGAAACGCCACAGGAGGCCTTAAAGAGCCCCCCATGGAATGGGATGGCGAGGGGGGGGGGGGGGGGAGGGGGGGGGAGGAGTAGGAGGAGGAAGGAGGAGGAGGAGGGAGGAGGAGGAGGAGGAGGAGGAGGAGGAGGAGGAGGAGGAGGAGGAGGAGGAGGAAGAGGAGGATCAGTAGGAGGAGGAGGAGGACGGGGGATGAGGCGGAGGAGGAGGAGGAGTGCACAGGCCACGAGGGGAGGCAAGCGGACAAGACGCGAGCGAGGGAAAGAACATAAGCGGACACGAGGCAACGGGAGAGAAAGAGGAGTCCGAAGTCCCAGGTCTCCAGCTGCTCGACGGCATCGAGCAGGACGAACCATCGTTTGATTTTTACAGCAAACCACTTGACAAACATACCCCAGGACGTGATTCAGAGCCAGGCAGCAGAGCTTCATGCACGTGTTACTGAGCGTGATCGGCCTTGTCTTGTCCGCGGATCTGGATGCTGCGAACACATCGGGCGGGACCTCGCCCTTGACAAGGAAGACAGCGAGGGCGTGGTTGAAACCGTCTCCAACGCGCAGGCAGTGAAAGAGTGCGCAGTAGACACGACACAGGGTGAGAAGCGCGAAGCCCCCTGCACACAGCCAGGCAGAATAGACTAGTCCGTCTGGGCCTCGGGCGGAGTCTCTGACGCTGTTGAAGATGTTGCGAAATTCGTCGACCGGTATCTCCCATTCAGGCACAGGTGGGGCAGTGGGCACAAAGGGTCGGATGTGCTCGAGCTGGTCGGGCAGACAGGGATGCCTGTGATGAACTCCTCCCCAGTACTGTGCTAATCGCTTGGCCGCTTCATCAGGGTCGGTGTGTTCGATGCCTTGAGGGTCGGTGATTCCAGCGAGCCGAATGCGACGGCCTCCAGAGGCCCAGGCGGAACAATGCTGGTAAAGCTGTCGTTGTCGAGCCAAGCGTTTAGCAGGAGGAGCAGAGACATCATTTTCTGTATCTTCGATTTCACTCTGAAGATGCGCGCGCTGTAAAGTACTCACATGCCGGTGGAACCCGTCCAGGTCGGACCAGATCAAAAGCCCGAGGTCCAAGAACTGCGCGAGAGCCGAATAGGCTCGACACGCGCGACGAGCAAGAGGGCGATTTTGGGTTCGAACTGCACGCATCAGGGCGAGGCTCCAGGAGATCTTCTCGGGGTTGGTGGTGGCGCCAGTTGTCTCCAGACGGCCCAAAAAGACTGTGCGCGGCGCATCGGAGGAGATCCTTGGTTTCCTCAAGACGCCCCCAGGGATCCGGACTCAACGAACCAGCCTCCAAGAAATCACTTTCGCATTCGGCGGGGTAATCGGGATGTTTGGGGACCCATTTCGGCAGGATGTAGACGCCAGGAGAACCTCTGGGCTTCGGGGCGAAGGCGAGGCAGACGGGGATGTGATCCGACAGCGTGGTGCGAACGGTGACATTTCCGATGGTCATCGCGCTAGGCTTCAAGTCGAGGATTTCGGCGGTGTACATGTTACACAGAATGCGACCAAGACGAGCGACAGAGAAAATCATATTATCATGAACGATACGATGAGTGGGCATCTCTTGCATCACTTCGGCGTAAGTCGAGAACAGCTGCGCCGCGTGCCTGACGATGTCAGGCTTCATCGGGATCAGACGGCCAGAAAGATGATGGGAGCCATCGCCTTCGAGACAGAATTTCCAAACACCTGCGACGAAGCTGAGCGCCTAGCACTGCGGGAGTAGAGCATGAACGACTTGGGAGAGAAGGACCTTTTGGGCAGGAATGGGGATGGTCGGGGTGTTGTGGATACTCATGATCTGGAGAATGCCTCGGGGGCCATAGAGGGTAACTTCCTGAGCCCTACCGCGACGGACCACTGAATGCCGACCACACTGAAAATTACGACAGAGCTTCTCGCTCAAGAGGATGATGCAGCCACCTGCGTCTCTCGCTTCAAAGAAAGTACCAAACCCGCTGACGCCGTGAAGTTCGTGGAGGAGGAGAGCGAATTCTGTCTGGGGGCCTCGGGTTTCCTGTAAACAAATCACTTGGTGTCGGGAAACAAGTCGTTTTATGAAATCGATTTTCTTCCTGGCAAGGTTCTGGTCGGACTAACCGAGTTGAACATGCGGTGAACATTCCAAGGAACGATAGAGAGCTTCTCAGAAATCACACATGGGAAATACGATGCGGGGCCAAGGAACTCGATGGGGAAAGGGTTATCATCTGGATCGGAGTCGGGTGAGGTAGAGGACGAGGCGGTGGAAGAAGAGGAACTGCTGCTGCCTGAAAAGCTGGAAGCAGGAGGTGGGGCGCGCCCCTCGAGCCTGGTCCTGCGAACCCTGCATGGCCGTGCCACGCTCGACGAAATGTCGGGAACCCGTTCGAGCTGTTGAACTTCCTATTCGAGAGCGGAGCCTGCAACCTTGTCGGCAGCGACGCGATCGATACCAAAGGGCTGGGGACTCTCGTACTTCATGTCGAAGGTGTAGCTGTCTTCGCCGACGTCGGTGAGCGAGGCAAGCACTTCGACATCGCCCTGACCGAAGAGGATGAAGATAATCCCGCGCGGCCCGTTGCAGCCGAGACGGCAGCCTTCCTTCCAAAGTTGTTCTCCTTCATGTGGTTGAGCAGGGCTTGCCGCAAGCGACCGAGAGCCTTGTGACGGGCGATCTTCAGCACCGGCGCCCAGGCGGCAGCGCATGGTGATCGCGACCTTGGTGCGGGGGTCGATCCAGTCAACTCCGTTGGGCGTCATCTGCTGCACTTCGTTGCTGGCGATCTCGGATGAGGAGAAACGGATGGAGTAACTCATCTGCGTGTTCTTGGCGGTGATCTCAGCACCGACGGAGTAGGTGGCAGGAAGTTGGGGGGAGTACAAGTTGCGCATGAGCCTGCATCGCCGACCCAAGTACACGGCGTGGGAAGCCGCCGAACCAACCGCGGCACTTGTCGGACTCCTGGTTGGCGGT